ATACTGTATACTATAATGACATACTGTATACTATAATGACATACTGTATACTATAACGACAATGAAATGGAATTGAATTTAACACCCCATTAAACACGTTAAACCTACCACTGCAGCACTGACATCCAGTAAGGCATCAGCAGGCAAGCTGATCACCAGAAAGCTGAAATCTACAACGGCTGTTCCACTAAGAAAACAATCCAAACGTATATCCTCCTATAAAATATTCATCTGTAGATGTGGCTGTTGAGTAAAATAAGCAAGAAGACAGATCGTCAGTCAAAACTTTCGCTCCCCCTTTTTTCGGAAATGCGGGCCTGGTGAAATTATTCTACGTCTTTTTTGATATCAAGAGTGTGTAGGCATTGAAGAGCTGCTTCTTCCCTTTGCCCCAGCTGGGTGGCACTTACCGGAACGACGTCTACGAGCTCTTCCCCGCCACCTTCCAGACTGTGGCCATGCAGCCCCTGTACCCCGGCACTTGGCTCCTGCACTGTCACGTCACAGACCATATCGTGGCCGGTATGGAGACCACCTACACCGTGCTCCAGAAGGAGGGTAAGTCAGACCGCAGCGGTGAGCAGCGTGCGACTCGGTGAGCCGGGCCACCGTGCCACTGACCGGAAGGTCGCCAATATGAGCCCCACCGCAGCAGAACAGTCACATGTCCAGGGCCCTGAGCAAGGCCATCAAGCCCCAGCTCCGGGGGCCACACATTGGCTGACCCTGTGCTGTGACCCCCCAGGCTTGCTCTCACTTACATATGCGTGTGTGTGTCAAGGAGAGCAGACGGGGTAAGTAAAGACAGGCTTTCCCTGCAGGGATCACCATTCACCATAATGAATACACTGTTTAACCCTGGCCAGCCCCAGTAGCGTTTACAGTGAGTTTAGTCAGGAGATTTACTAGAAGTTTCTGCAAAGGAGAAACTGTCTTGAAGTTCATCATTTTGCAGACTTTGGTAGCGCAATAATTCCTGTGATTTTATTCTTCTTTGCAGAATCCAAGGGAATAAGAGGATTTATAAAAGGTTTGTTTCAAAAGAGTTAGAAGAAACGTGAGAAGATTCTGCTTTTAATATCATGTCATTTTCTTTAATTCCATGCAAAGCACACTAATAAATCCTGTAAATACTCATGTGCACATGCACTGTTTAAATCTTCTGCTTGTATCTGACAACAGTCTGCGTCCATTGTGATTACCATATCTGTGGATATGGGATATTGCATTATCTTTTTAAGTAGCACAAAGGCAGAGCAAGAATTTGATTTCACTTCAAAGCTGCCTTCTGAGTTGGGTAAATCCAAATAAAGGTGGTCAAGTTGTCACCCATGAACAATGTGAATCCCAGAAAAGGGGAGAAAACTCTAGAAGTGACTATCACTGTTTATCATTTTAGGTGTGGTGTAAGCTTACAAGTCAAAAAGAGAGCAAATGTTTAATTCCATCCATCCATCTTATCCTGGTTATGCTGGAAGGGTGGGGGCAGGGGTGGGGAGGGGGGTGTCTGAAGCCTATTCCAGGCAGCACAAGGCACGAAGCTGCAGTGCACTGCAGACAGGATGCCAGTGCACTGCAGGGCATATGCCCCCCTCTGTCACACACAGTCATACTGGCAATCCCCAGATGCCAGGTAGCCTGACTGTCTTTGGACTGTGGGAGGAACCCGGGGGAAATCTGTATGACACGGAGAGAACAGGAAAACTCCGCCCCCTACAGGTCAGAGGCGAGATTTGCACCAACCCTGCTGGCATAAAGCAACAGTACAAACCCTTAATTATGCATCATAAATAAATATTTATTCACAGCTTATGTGCGTATTATTAGCTATCTATACGCAGATAACAGTAAGAGTTATGTCATCTTCCAAAAAGGAAAAATTCTATGTCGTTTTATTTTTTCCTACAAGTAACACCTATGATGTATATCTGAGTATAGAAGGAACTGGATTCTCTTTATATACATAAAAATTGCCTAGCAAACAAATATCAGATAGCAGTCAGCCGTGCGACAGCCAGCCGTGCGACAGCCAGCCGTGCGACAGCCAGCCGTGCGACAGCCAGCCGTGCGACAGCCAGCCGTGCGACAGTCAGCCGTGCGACAGTCAGCCGTCTGAGTGCTGAGTGTCAAAAGCAGCAGCAACATTTGGCATCCAGTTGTAAAGGTTCTGTACAATACTAGTGATTTCCATCCAAATTCTACAATCAGTGTCACACACACATTTTTATCTATATATACTCAGAGCTATAATCAAGTAAGGCTGCGTTCTTATTGCTACACACACTTGACAAAGTGTGTCACACCACCCCATCCGTGGTAGTTCTCTAGCGGGGACCGGTTTGGCCGCTTTCACGATGGCAGGAGATGCTTCTGGCCGCACTCCAGGAGGTACGGGAGGAAGAACTGGGCCGTCCCATCGTCTGGTAGCAGGTTCAAGAACTCCAGAGGGCTGAGCTCCATGGAAACCATCTTCAGTGTTTCTGTGCCAAAAGAAGTTCATGCCATGCGGTTCAGATTCCACACTCACTTTATTGCTTTATCCAGATGCTTTTGCTTCAGTGCTGCTGTGCTCGTAACAGAAGCGTACCTTTCAGTGCGGTCAGTAAGATATCATCCTTTCCTCCAGTGGCTCTGGTTCTGTCACAGAGCTCTGGAAAAAGCTTTTTCCACCAAAGTACCTAAGCACAATAAAAATATATTATTCGGAAAAAAAGCTATTGATGATTTAGCCCTTTGAACCATGAACACTTAAACTGTATCACAGCAATTACACAAGACTGCTAGAAATCCCCCCACCCCCAGTGGTGATTCTACGATTTTTTTTTTTAGGTGGGGTCATAAGAAAGGCCAACCTTATCATTAGCCAATTATATGTATTTAATCAGTGAGTGACAGCACTCCAGCGGCCAATCAGCTTTTTGCTCAGGCCAGTGGCCCCACCCCCTGTATACACCCCTGTCCCACGCTTTGGGTGTTTACATTTGGGCTCTCTTCAAATCATCGATACCCACATAATAAGCTGCAACAGCTGAACAGCTGTAATTAAAAGCGATGGTAACACGAGGTTAGGAGCTAGTTAGGAGTTGCGTGTCGCAGTACCATTTTCTCATGGTGCAGCTGGTGGTTGGCATAGGGAAGGACGGCCTGGGGGCAGAGGTCCAGCAGCCGGTCTATGGAGCGCTCCTGGTGGCCCAGCTTGGTAGTGCACAGCACATGGACACTGAGGCCGGCGCGGTCCTGGTCCGACAGCCGCTCCAGCAGGGGGAGCGTGAACGACACGTCTAGCGTAGGACCGCAGAGCAGCGACTGAGGGAGACAGTGAGCAGAGAGAGAGTCAGCTGGAAGCAGTACCATGTCTGCACTAAATCTGCACAGCAGAGCATCCTGGGTAAAAATAGCCAAAAGCAGAAGCGTCATTACGCTAAAATTAAATCGCTATTTCATATGGGTGCACCGTGTGGGAATAATCAAATGTGTGCGTACATACTTCTATTTTATGTGTTCATTTATTAGACAATATAAATAAATGCAATTTAAAAAAGCAAAATTAGTTAATCAATATTAGGATAATAATACAGTTATAAGATTAATAAAGGCTTGGGATGTGATAGGTGACATTTCTGAGGAGTGTGTGCACTGTGCACTGCTTGGCAAATTGTTCCACAGAAGGTCATCAAGTTCGAGCAACTGGCAAGTCTAATACAATTTAAACTGGATTTAGAAAAGACAAAATAATAATAATAATCAAACTTTACTGTCACATTAAAAGAGAGACTGAAAGCTGGCTGAATAGCCGGAACTTTAGGGAATGGTTTTAACTACAGAGTGAAATGGCAAACGGCATCCGGCGGCAGGCAGGACAGGTTAAGATTAGACTTTATTAATCCCACAATGGGGAAATTCTTTGAGAAAAGGGTAACGGTTTAAAAGTAACACGGCCCAGTGAAAACAACCAGACCCGTTTCTAAGAAGGAACCAGACCAATGAAGGTGTGAATTGTTTCCAGGTGGCTTTTTAATGCTAAGTTTCATGTTAGCTGGATGTTAAAATAAATTGTTAGCGGAACATTTATTTAAACAGCTTCTCTTTGACATTATAAAATGAAAATGTTTTATTTAACCCTTAAACTGGCACAAACCTGAGCTAGAGCTGAGCAATTAATCAAATTTCAGTTACGATTTTTGCTTCCAATGATTATCAAAACATAACAATCGAGATAAAACCATTATTGTGTTGCATTTTGTTTTGTGATGATGCTCCTCTTTGTCTTGCATTATGAATCCCAAGCACCTCTTTCCAGACCCTTTTTATTAATTTCTCAGTCGCATTTTATTCAAGGAGTTCAAGGAAATCCACTGTCAAAAAGGCAAGTTTTTTAAAGGTTCAGTGAATGCATGATATTTCCAAAGTCAATGAGTGATCGTGTCAAATAATCATGATCTCACTATTGTCCAAAATAATCGAAATAATGATTTTTTGCCAGAATGGAGCAGCCCTAACCTAAGCCATATTGTAACACTAATTCTTGTATTCAATCTACAGTGAACAGGTAAGATTAGCCTTCATAGATCTTCAGAGACCTTTCAGAGCTTCATAAAATGTTCATAAACATGTATCATGCCATTAAATATTATAATGAATATTAAAATGCATTAATGCTTTGCTTATTGTTCAATATTAATTATGACACTACTGACGCTAGAATAAGGTAGGAGGCAAACTGACCTGTAGCTTTTGCAGATCTTCTTGATGGTCGTGGGCAACGTTGAAATGCAAGGGTGTGAGGACACTCACCCAGGGAAACAGCTGGCCATAGTGACAGCAGGAATTGATCTGCCACAAACACAGATTCAGTTCATTGGGTCATCTTGCAGGAAGGGACCAGGGCGCAACATTTAAGTACAGATGGGCTCACCAGATCATCCGTGGTCTTCAGCGGTTTCACCCCATAATTTTCCTTGTTGGTAATGCGGTCAATGTAGACTGACACCAGGCGGAACAGAAGCTCCTGAATCACAGACTTGCTCGGCGAGGCCACGACGAGGGCCTCCCAGAAATCTACCAGGAGTTGAGGGCCACTCTCCAACTCTGTGGCACCTTTGCACAGCTCCTGGATGACACACAATGACATGCAGGAGAGCCTTTGAAGCTTATGTCCATGCCTGGTGCGAGTAGTACTGTGCTATATGAAGCCTGAGAGACCTACCAAGAAGAAGAGGTCGGCCTCCTCGAGGTTGACCTTGCTGTTCTCGTGGAGGGCCACCATTGCAGCCACTAGCAGGCCGTCCTGGGTGTCCTTCAGCTTCTGGGCGAGGGCAGTGGGAACGATGGCCTTCCCTCGGCCGTGCAGGAGCAGCTTGGGCTCCTCGATGTAGCCGTACACCTGGAGCATCTGTGAGAGTGGCGAGGTCATTACATTTCCGGCCTGGTTACATCGTTCTCCAGTATCTCCGCTGACAGCCCCCCCTTCCTCAGGTGGTTATGAAAACCTGACCCTGGCTCCCATAATTCACCTCTTTAAAACAGGTGCCATGCATAAATAGCTTTAGATGCCGTGCAAGACTGCAATGTTCTGAATTATGGAGATGCATGGCCAGAAGATCACAGGTATTAACTGACTGTCAGCCTCCTGGGTTAGTGTTTCCCAATCTGGTCTTCAGGAACCCCTCAGATGGTCCACGTTTTTGCTCCTTTCGAGATCCCTGCCAGACAGTTCATATTTTTGCTCCCTCCCGGTTCAAGCTATAAGAGAGCAAAAACGTGGACTGTCTGCAAGTCCCTGAGGACTAGACTGGGAAACATTGCCTTAGGTAATGACTCCCTCCCACCTCAGTGATGGTACTTTTATCTATTGCCAGGGAACCCAACTGGCAAATGACACTCAGAATGATTGTCTTTTTAAACCTTTCAGGCACATTATTTACCCATCGTTCCCCATCCCTGCCGTCGCCGGCCGGCTGCCGTGACGATGCCTGGGTGCGGCCGCCCCCCTACCTCTGTGTGCCGGTCCATTTCCTGCTTGTACCGCTGCAGGTTGCCCAGGCGGAGATGAAGTGCGGCTTTGGTGAGCGTGACAGTCACTGACGGCCCGCCTTCTGCCTCCAGCTTCTCCAACAGCGGCAGGGCGGAGGCGGG